ACTAACATAACATAATAAAATTAAATTAAATTAAAAAGAAGTTCAAAGACATAATAATATTTATATTTCTCTAGTACATTGTTACAGAAAAGATTGAAATTTGGCATAACGATTATATAATTAGAGAACAGGACAAATTATCTGGGCTTTCAGAAATATGAAAAACATCTCAATTAGTGAAGGTTTGAGAAAAATGATCGGATGCTTTGTTTTTCTATAAAGCTCTGGAAAATATATTCTGAGAACATTTTCTGAGAATGCTAAGTAGTGGTGTGCTGTGAATGAGAGTTGGAATCGAAAGGCAAATTTGGAAATAGCCATACAAAAGTACTAAATGAAATATGTGGGATACTTTGAAAGAAAAGTCAAGAAAGCCAACTCAGGAGTAAGAGGAACTGAAAGAGATGACAGTGGAGAACCAACCGCATGCAACCACTTGCAGCAAAAGGTGTCAAGCAGATGGAGCTTGATCTTTGAGGTCAAACAGAATGCAAATGAAATGCAATTTTGCTAGTTACTGACTATCTGACAACCGGAAGTGACCAAACCTTTCTCTCACCAACCATTTATTCATTTAAAAGATGGAGATGATAAAACCTAACACAGTGACTTATACAAACAAAAATCAGATAATGAGTAGATGAGAGTAAATGATGTATGTAAATTCCTCAAAGTACTTGTGGGGCATATAATAGATGTCCAGTAAACAGTGGCTAAACACATGTCATCATCACTGTGCTCATCATCATCATCATCATCACTACCACTATCTTTAGAAAAAGCACAGGACATATGAAACTCTAAGTGAAGGCAAAGAACAAATGGGGATATATAAGAGTTCTTATGGATATGGAACCAGATGTGGTAGTAAATTCAGACTCTATCTAATGGAGCTTAGAAAGGTCATCTTGCTTCCTCTGCTGAGCCACACAACTCTGAAACAAGAGGGGAAGAAGAGGAAGAAGCGGAGAAAAACAGCATGCACTATATTTAGATTTTACACTGATCACGATAAGAGCCATGAAATCCTCTACACATCCCCCACACATGAAACTTCCATATCCAGAGCATGAAGCCCTCTCTGAGCACAGGATATGTTGCAACCTGGATGTTCTCCTGGAGTTTCTGCACCAGGGCCTCTTTCTCCCTTCCTGGCCTTCATTTCCCTGTCTTCCTATGCAAGAGAGGTCTAACTATTGAAAAACCTTTCCTAATTGCTATGCCTGGTGCTGTGCTAGGGACATAGCTCTTGACATTTATGGGAGCGAGATGGCTTAATGCTTGGGATCAGTATTTCAAGAAAAGGGAAAGATGCCACAGTGAGGCTTTATCTGTGAGAGCCCCCATCAGGCACAGTATCTAGGAGAGGTGTTCAATATTTGCCCCCTGGTTAAGCCTGCTAGTTTTTGTTGTTTCACTACAGTTCTTCAAATCTGTGGAGCTGTCACTTGCTTCTAGCCACAGGGTGACAGGCCGTGGCCCTCAAAATGAACATGCTGATGAATTACTGCCTTCTTCCTTGGGCTCTCTTCTCTAGGAGCCCAGCATAACTATGTGACCAATTAGATGTGTCTGCTGGCTGGTTTGTTGCCTATTTCTCCACCAGACAGGGGGGCTTTATTTGGGAGCATTCTATCCTGGCATGAATAAGTTTGCTTACCTCTGCCAACAGCCCAATATATATGTCTGTTCCCACACTGCATATAGTTCCACAGCTGAGTTGCTATAATTATGATTGAGAGTTATTTTCGATCTAAACTAATATTACTATTTGCCTACAATATTCTCGGTATGTTTTTTTAAGGAGAGGGCGACTGAAATATCTCATCTTCATCTATGCAAACCTGTATGTAAAGAGGAGATTCAGGAAGAAGCAATTTGCACAGTCGGGGACCTTGGAAATGAAAGTTTGCATTATTTATACTATAAAATGCTTTTCTCCCACCACAGAACTCCAGAAGTCCTTTACTCAAATCATTTAGTGGGATATAAGTATTGTGGCTGAAAGTACTGGCCTTTGGTTTATTCTATCTTCCAATTCTCAAAGCTACCAGTTCATTTAATTAACGCTTCATGCCTCAAATCACATTTATTAGCATACGAAAACACTAGTCAGGCTCAAATCCCCAAAGTCAGTTTAATTTATTAGTGATCAGTATTTGCTAAGAACTTGCTAGTTTTGTTCCATTCCATTCAGATGAACAAACGGAATGTGTCATGCCAGGCAGAGAGGAGACAAAGATGCTCTCAAAGACCTGAAGGTCTCCTGGGGAAGACTGGAGCACGAACAGATCATTTCAACCCAGTGCCTAAATGCTCTCGCTGGCCTTTGCAAAGGTTGCTATGGGAACACAGAGAGGGAACCATTTACAGGTTGGCAGTTTGGAGAAGATCTGGAAGAAATGTCTACCAGAACTAAGATGTGAGAGTTGTGTATGAATTGATCAGGCCAGTGAGAAAGATGGGCATGTGCATTCTAGCAAAGGAATTTACCCTTATGTGTGAAGTGTGAGTGAGAAAATGACAGTAGGTCAGAGTTTTAGGTGAATCATAACACATTGCTATCGTCAACCATTTTGTGCCACAAAATGGTGGTTTCATGTGGTTCCACCTAATCAGTGGGGGTCAGTTACAGACAACTGTGGATTAATTCCAGGCTGAACATGTGCTTTCTCTTACACAGGGTAGAAACTAATGAGGAATTTTAACTAGGTGAGTTTCTAACTCAGATCTGTACTTTAGACAGACCGTTGTCACAGGTGAAGAGGGTGGCCAAAACCAGTTGGCTCCCCATCTCGTTTCTCCCTCTCATTTTCTCTCATTGGATGATAGCCCAGATGAGAGCTAGTGGAGGTCTGAACTAAGACCCAGGCACTAAAGCAGTTGGAACAGGTAATCACAAGATAAAATCTGTCAGATCGGTTACTGATTTTTCAGTGGAGAAGAAGAGAGAGAAGAAAGTCTCAGGTTTCTGGTTTGTGTCACCAGAGGGAATTTGGAGCCATTAATTCAAATGAAAAAAGAGAAAAGGAGCTGGTTTGGGGTGAAAACAGTGAGTTGTATCTTGAATGTGTTGGTTATGAGGTGCCTGTGGAACGTTCCAACAGAGATAATTATCCAGAAGGAAAGTAAATGTAGGAGTCTAATCCAGGGAGGACTCTGAACTGTAACGGGAAATCTGGGGACCATCGGATCATCGGGGGCAGGGGGGTTGGGGCGCAGATAGGCGGTCCAAAACACAAGAGTGGTTGACACTACTGGGAAGCACACAATTTTCAAGGCAACTTTACAGAGCTGATGTTTTCTTTACATGCTTTTCAACTGAAGATGCTTTAAAAATAATCTTATTTGTAAATATGAAAAAGAGTTGCTCTGGTTGAAATGGACATGAGAACCACAGAACCCACTTGCTCAGGCTCCTTAATCCTTCTTCTTCCCTCAAGGCAGCCCCAGAAATCTCTGAGGAACACTTGGGAAGTGAGCGATCTGGGAAAACTAAGACCCAGGGGTCACATCTGGCCCACTGCCTGTTTTTGTAAATAAAGTTATATTGGAACATAGCGACATGCATTCTTTTTCTTATTGTCTTTCTAGGTTCATGCTACAGGAGCAAAGTTGAGCTGTGGACTGTGTGGGCCACAGAACCTAAAATATTTTCTTTTTTTTTTTTTTAAGATTTATTTATTTATTTGAGAGAGCAAGAATGAGAGAGAGTACATGAGAGGGGGGAGGGTCAGAGGAAGAAGCAGGCTCCTCGCTGAGCAGGGAGCCCGATGCGGGACTCGATCCCGGGACTCCAGGATTATGACCTGAGCCGAAGGCAGTCGCTTAACCAACTGAGCCACCCAGGCGCCCCCTAAAATATTTTCTATCTGGCCCTTTATGGAAAAAAAGTTTGCTCACCCCTGGTCTAGACTAAACCCTCGATTTCACGAATTAGAAAGCTGAGGTCCAGAGAATTTAAATAACATCTGAAAAGCTGCTCAGGCTGGAACCCTTCTTGAGATCCAGTTCCCACTGCCCTTCTTAAAAAAATAAAAATAAAAAGCATAACTGGCGATTACTCTGGCTAAGAATGAACTGGATGCATTGCCCACCCACAGTAATTCTCATAAGAACAGCAAACTAAAAACTTTCACTGAACTTCCTTTCACTTTGGAGCAAAATACAGTTTTTAGTATTTCGTTGTTGCTATTATGTTAGAAATAAGCTCCCTTTACCTATATTACTAATTATCCTATGACTAATGATTCTTGCCTAATTCAATGAACTCAATTCTTCCCTAATTTAACATTTTATGTGAAAATGTGAAGTCTCTTTCCTTTTTTTTAAAGATTTTATTTATTTGTCAGAACGCGAGAGAGCGCGCCCACACAAGCAGGGGGAGTGGGAGAGGGAGAAGCAGGCTCCCCGCTGAGCATGAAGCGTCATGCAGGGCTGGATCCCAGGACTCTGGGATCATGACCTGAGCGGAAGGCAGATGCTTCACCGACTGAGCCACCAGGCATCCCAGTATCTGCTTTCCTTCGCTAACTAGCCCGGCTTGAAGTATTAGTTCTCCAAGGTGGAGTCAGTATGGGGTGGTTCGCAGAGGTGTAGCAGGGGCCGCTCCAAGTGACGTGGCACACAACCTCATTACACACCACCCGCTCCCGTGTTTGGCTCCTCCCCCTTCCCCAAGTCGCTCCTTTCACCCATCGCTCCTGTCTGCAGACACCGCGTAGGAACTAGGGCCAGAAACAAGCTAGGGCAGAAGGGGGCCGCAGCTGCACGGGTGGAGAGGTGGACGTGACGATCGAGGGGCGGGAGGGAAGCACAGGGACCAGCCGTTCCAGCAGGTGCAGGCACGGTAGTCCTGCCTCTGGGTCCTCCCCCTCGCTTCAGTCACCTCCCGCGTTTGGGCCGAGAGAAGAAACACAAGGCCGGAGGCACACATTGCGAAGTTCTAAATGTAGTTCAAACAGCACCAACTGGGAAGGGAAAAATTTCCCACGGCTCACCAGCAGGGTTTTAATGTAGTCAGAGGTCTGGCGGTGAAGAGACATGAATTCGGTCTTGGTTCATCTGCTGATGACAAGGCAATATTGAACAGCCTCCATTTTCTTCAATCTGCATCCCGTTTTCTAGAGCGATAAAATGAATATAGAGACATGAATAATAAACTCTTATTTGTCCTGTTTCTTTTAAGAATGGCAAGGGAGAAGTGATCAGCCACTAATGAAAAGGAAGAGGTTATTTTTATAGATAAATAGGAGCTTCAGTGTTTAAAAATATCAGAATAAAATTCCCATTGTGTTTAGTTAAGATTTCTGGATGAGAAGTATGAAGGAGGAGCATAGAATAAAGAAGGTCTTTATAAGAAAATGAGACCGTTAACTCTTTTTCTTATAAGCTTACCAACCCCCTTAACATACTTCTCTCCACTGGTTTTGTAAATCATCAGTTCCATTTCATATGGTTAACCATGTTATTTCAAGTATAATGAAGAAAAGCATATAAAGGGCTAAATTCATATCTCAAGGGTGAATATTTTCGTAATATGCATTTATTTATCAAATATTTATATAGCTGCTTACTATTGCCAAGAACTATTGTAAGAGGGTCATCAATATTAACTCTTCCTTGAATAATTACAGAATACATCAGGGAAAGAACTGAACACAGAAAAAAAAAAAGGAAAATATTATTAGAAGCAAAATTAGGAGGAAAAATGCAAACAATATGTTGACAACTGGTATTTCATTTTACTCTATCTTGCTTCTACAGAACATCTCCTGTACTGAACATTTTGTTGCTTCACTTAGAGTATTTCTGTGAGAAAAAGAATCCCATGCCTAACGGCTCAATTGACAAGGGTGCCTCATCAAGGGACACTCACATCAATGATCAATTTTCCTCACTGCTGGGATTTAAAAGAAAAAAACTGCTTACATTTATATCATGCTTTTGAAGTTATTCTAGGTATACTATTTTACATATTTGTATTTAAATATGAAAATTGTAATACCAAAAAATTTATTTAACTACAATATCTGTACACTTCCAATTACCAAGAACTTTCCATAAATATCTGACAGCCATTTTCTATAACTGCAGTTTCCTCAAGTTTTCACTATTTTCCTTTCAACTTTTAGAATCTTCTCTTTGAAGAATGTGTCCTATCTTTCCAGTTGCCTCTTCTGGATCTTTACATGTCTCTGACTCACACATTTCCACTGGATCAATAACCTCATCGACACAAATGTGATTTTGTGTGTTTCCTTTCCTCCTACAATTCGCCAACTTTTATTCAAAGAATTCAGAGACCCCGTATAATTGTCTTTCCTCCAGCCTCCTCCATCTTTGGTCAGAAGTTTGCTCTTGGCCCTGAGTGCTTCACCGCCTATGGCCAGGAGGGGGCTATGTGAGTTTGCCTTGTGTTACGGCTGTCTGAGCCCGTCTACTCTCTGAGCTCGTGCTTCATCCTCAAGTCCACTCCTTTCTAAAGATCTTCTTTATTTCTTTATATTATATAGAACAGGTATGTCGATTTCCTTTCATCCATTCATCTGACAAATACTGTGTGTGTTGAACTTCTATTATGTGCCAGGCACAGGTGTGTTACCTCTACACATCCACTGATGAACAAAACAGACATCATCCCAGTTCTTATGGAGCAAAAGGGAAGTAAACAAATATTATTTCGATTGTGCTAAATGCCAAGAAGCAAATAAACAAGGATCACTGAGGAGAATAAAAGAGCTAGGACCTGTTTAGAGTGGTAAAGAAAGGCTTCTTTAGTGAAATGTCATTATAGCTGTGATCCTAAAGACTTTTTTATGATACATTTCCCCGATTTTCTCTTTTGAAACTTACCCTTGTCTTTCAGCCATCTCCTAGCATCCTTTTTCAAAGGTTCTTTTCTCTGTAAGCAAAACTAGACTAACACACACTGTCTGCACCTTTTTTGAGAATTGGGAAAACTTGCTTTCTTTATCATCTCTTGCCTTAGAAATAAAAGAGCTCTATACCCTGGTGGCTTATATGTGAGAACATATACTTTAATATTCCCTACTACAAGGTCAAAATAAGATCCCCTCCATAGATTGCTATCCTGGTGGCCCAGCCAAACTTGGCCATTGGGAAAGAGACTTGGCATCAGGGACCACAGGACTAATTTTACTGTTTTTTGAGGACTTTCTGATCCAGGGTTCTCCCTCCCCAAGATATTTCACATTTTAATTTTTATTTCTGTATTTCTTCCGTTGCCTTCATCCCCTGTGAATGACAAATCAAGATTCTCTAAACCATCCTCCACTCTTACATCTTTAGCAGATTGAAGCATCTTTATTTCCTGAACTCCTAGCTTTGGGTAGTCAGTAGAGCACAACAGGTAAACACATAGCCATGCAGGAGACACACTGCACTTGAACACCCACCTTACCACTTTCCAGTAGTGAGACCTTGAGCAAGTGATGGAACTTCTAGATTTCACTTTCCTCGCGTGTAGTGTAAGGACAATATATCTATATTAACTTTCCATTTCCAGTAACAAATTGCCACAAACTTAATGGCTTAAAACAATACACACTATTGTCCATAGTTTCTATGGGTCAGGAGTCTAGGCACAGCTTAGCCAGGTCCTCTGCTCAGGGTCTCACCAGGCTGCAGTCAAGGCATCAGTTACACTGTGTTTTCATCTGGAGGCTCGACTGGAGAAGAATCTGCTTCCAAGCTCCCTTAGTTTGTTGGAAGAATTCATTTTCTTGCAGCACCAGGACTGAGGATCCCAGCTTCTTCCTGGCTGTTGGCTGGGGGCTGCCCTCAGGTGCAAGAGGTCATCTGAAGTTCCTTGACACATGGCTTCTCCAACGTGGCCACTTATTTCTTTAAGCCAGAAAGGAGACTTCCTAGCTCCAGTCTGCCAAATGGGAGTCTTAAATAATGTAACATAATCACATGGCATTTGTCACGTAGTGTAACCTAGTCAGGGGATTAATGAGTGTCATACCATCACTTGTGCCGTATTCTATGGTTAGAACTCTGTCTGCCACAGTTTCCTTCAGAGAGCTACTTAAGTAGGTATATTATATTAAATTACAGATGTAAAGCCCTTAACACAGTACCTGGCAGGTCTTAAACACTCATCAATTAGCTATTGTTCCTCTGCTTCTTTGTTGTTCTTTTTAAAATCCACTGCCAGAAGGGTATCAGCTTTTTAAGTTATAACTGAGCACTGGCCACATCTTCTCATCGCCATTTTACCTTCACAAGCTTGTCTTTTAAATATCTTTTCCGAGGCCCTGATCTCTCCTCTCTTTGCTGGTCACTGGATTAGCTTCCCCACCAGCTGAGCATGGGGATGAATGAAGGTCATATTATCAGCATCTTCTCCAACAAATCATGCCGTGATGATCTTAAGGAGAGAATTCCATTTGTCTGATCAACTTTTTTTCTATAGTTCTGAATCTAATAAATATTTTCCCACTCCCCTCCTTTGGCACATTTATTATTTCTCTGCTGCTTTCTTGTACCTCTACACCATCAGTGACAAGCCCTGTGCTGTTCTTGGCAGCTTTGCAGCATGTTTACTTCCAAAACTTTCAGAACAGTGTTTAAAATATTAGTAGCTTCCAATGTCTAATTTCCTTTTGCTTAAGTGAAATTGACTGCCCTGTCCTTGCATCATTGAGCATGTCCATACCCAAGGTTCTTGGCATCCCATGGTATCCTGTGCCCTGTGTAAAAGGGACCTAAAAAGTTCATTGCCCAAAAGACAAATAAAATCTAGGGCTGAAAGAGATTTTGTAGTTACTGTTTGGATCTGTCAGAAGCTGGTATTAAAAATGGTACAGTACCGAAAAGGAAGGTCCAGACTTAAGGAGAGATAAAAAGAGAGAGAGAGAGAGACCCTAAGGAGGGACCATGTTGTCTACATAGTAGCCAGACTGAGATCAGAGACGGAAACCTACAGTCTGGTGCTCATGCTAAAGTCAAGTGGACTGAGACCCAAAAGGGAATTGAAGCAAAACAAGGAAGCACTCCACTGTGCTTAAACATTGGTGCACATTGACCCAGGGGTAGAAATGGTGGCTGGTTAGGCAGATGGGCCAGAAGGACAGTGAACTGGAGGGAGAAAGTGTGATACTATATGAGATGATTTTTAGCCTCAGCTGTATCCAATCACTTTTAAATTTATTAGCAATTGATTCTGGCAAGTGTGGTTCTGAAGTCTAGGGTTACCCCAGTGGGCCCTGTTTCCTGGCCTGTGGGTACAATTTACAGTGTTTTCCTATGTGGACCGTGGCTGAGTCAGGCCATCTTCGGGTGTCAACTGTTAGGACACTGGTGGCTTCATTTTTGACTGGTAATTCAACTCCAACCTGCATTATTTCCCTTCTCTCTTTACTTTTCCTGCTTCCACAGTAGTCCCTAAAAGAACTCCACTTTCAAAAATCCAGCTGTGTAAAACACTATGTACACACAAAAACATGAATGAACTCATGTTAACACATACTGGTGGTTATCCCTGGAGAGTACATGTAGTGGTTTTCTGTGGTTGTTGTAAGAAATTACCACCCACACAGTGACTTAAAGCAACACCAACCCATCATGTCACAGTTCTGTAACTCAGAAGTCCAAAATGAGTCTCACTGGGCTAAAATCAAGATGTCAGAAGGGCTGTGTTCCTTTCTGGAGGCTTCAGAGGAGGATCTATTTCCTTGCCCCTCCCAGCTTCTAGAGACTGCCTGTGGCCCTTGGCTTCCGGCCCCTTCCTCCATCTTCATGTGAGGCCAGGTTCTCCTCCTCCTGCTGCCATCTCTGGTTTTGTCTTTGGACTTCCTCTTCTACTTTTAAGGAATTTTGTGATTACCTGGGGCCTACCAGAATAGAAGACAAGAATTTTCCTACCTCAAGGCCAGTTGATTAACAAACATAATTCCATCTGCACCTTCAATTCTTCTTTGTCATGTAACCTAACATCGTCCCAGGTTCTGGGACTGGGATGCAGACAGCTGTGGGGGCCATTAGGCTGCCTACCACAGTGGGATTATGGGTGATTTTGTTGTTGTTACCGTTTATTTCACCTTATGTATATTTTAAAATTTCTATATAATAAACATGGATTACTTATATACATTTTTAAAAATCAATTCACAAAACAATATCTTTCTTATCCAAAATTTCCCCATCATTGTCCCTCCCCTAACATTACCATCACCACTACCACTATTTATCTTAAAGGGCAAAATACATCACCGAAATTTTCCATAGGAGACTACTCTTTCTTAGTTGCTTCCTTTAACAGCTCTATTATGTTTCCATCTTTGGATGCTTTGATTTATTATTTAAATTTTACTTTTTTTTTTTTTTTTTTACTTCTGTAGTTGAGAATGGGGAAAATATTTGTCTTTAGAACTTTCTCCATCAGAGTCACCATCGACTCTTTCACTTGAGAGAATTTTGACATATTTATAACATATACTCCTAGTCTCTGTCTGATATTTAGAAAAAAAAATCCATTGATCTTGCCTCTTATAATAAAAGCTTACATTTATGTAGTACTTATAATGTTCCAGGCACTGTTCTGAGCATTTTACATATATTAAGCTAACTCATTTACTCTACATAGTCATCTAATGAGATAGCTGGTATCCTTTTAACCATTTTAAAGACAGAAATAAGGCACAGAGGGGGCACCTGGGTGGCTCAGTCGTTAAGCGTCTGTCTTCGGCTCAGGTCATGATTCCGGGGTCCTGGGATGGAGCCCCGCATCGGGCTCCTGGCTCCGCAGGAAGCCTGCTTCTCCCTCTCCCGCTCCCCCTCCTTGTGTTCCCTCTCTCGCTGTGTCTTTCTCTGTCAAATAAATAAATAAAATCTTTAAAAAAAAAAAAAAAGAAAGAAGGCACAGAGGAAGGAAGAAACTGAGACTCGGTAGAGTTAGGTAACTTGCCTAAGGCCACACAGCTAATAAGAGATGGAGCTGAAATTCAAACTCCAGAACCCAGAATCCATCCTCTGGTATATTGTTATATTGCCACTCATGTTTTTCTATCTTCTTGTTCCAACATTTTTTCTTAATTTACCATAATTTTTTTCATCTTTTATTCCTTTTGCCCAAATTACCATTTTTTTTTGAGAATCTAATTTCTTCTATTAGCATAGCAGGATCAGAAAAGGAAGTACAGCATCTCTCATAATCTCTATTCTTCTAGGCACATAAGTGCCAGGAATTCTACTGGTGATTACTCTTTTTTGGAATATTACGGACTGTTCACTGCTGTATTCTTCAATCCTCTATTCGTACAAGTTGATCCTAAGTATTTGGTTTCCTTTCACTTTTTTTATTATTTCTGATCATGTTTGAATGCTTTCTGCAACATAGTTAGATCCTGTTCTATCATAATCAAAACAAATATTATGCTCCAAAATCAAATTCTCTGTTAACATTTGTTTTAGAAAAGAAGAAGAGAAACTGATGTATATCAATTGACTTTTAAGCCAGGAAAGAGGAGATGCTTTTTCAAAGTTTATTTAACCTTGGTATCACCAGTATGTGGTACCACCCCTATTTTACAACTAAGAAATGAAACCTTAGAGAATAATTGTATCTACAATTTACTGATGGCTTGCTTTGATCCACCATCTGTTTTCATGCAGGATCTTATTCAATCCTCAGAACCATACGAGGTAGTATTTCTTATCCCCAGGAAACTGAGGCTTAAAGGGGTTAAATAAATTCCCCCCAAATCATCTAGTAAACATGATTTATCTGACTTTAAGGACTATTGTCTTTTCCCATTACCACACGTGGATCTTGGCTCCAGCATCTGTTGGAGAATCTGTTATTCTTATGTTTTTCGATCTTACTCTTCAGGAATTTCTATAAATTGGGGTAAATTCACATGCCTACAGAACCCAAACAGGTGATAAGAGGGAGCAAGACAAACTACGTATCAGGGACACAGTGATGTGAGCTAAGTGGAAGTGGCAACTGATCCTAGACCCTAATACTTCCAGGGGCACGCACACGGATAGAACTGATTGTGAAACTGCATCCATGCACAAAATGAAGGCTGGGAAGGCCCACATCCAATAGTGACTAAGACCAGCTGGCTGAGGGCTCAGGGGCTTGGAGCCCTAGTGTAACATTTTCATGTGGGAATGCCATCCCATGTTCCAAACCTTCAGATTTTTCAAGACAAGGCAGAAAGTTATACTTTTAAATTATAGCTCCTAATTTTTCAATGATGGCAATTAATTTGGCTCTTTGTTCTTGGGCCTTCATTCTTGGGCCTCTGTTCTGAGTCCTTGCTTGTGTCCTCTTGTCCACTTTACTTTCCTCCCTTTTCCATAATGTCATGGAATGTCATTCTTTTCCTTATGGCCTATGTCACTTTTTTTTTTTTTTTTAAAGATTTTATTTATTTATTTGACAGAGAGAGACACAGCGAGAGAGGGAACACAAGCAGGGGGAGTGGGAGAGGGAAAAGCAGGCTCCCCGCTGATCAAGAAGCCTGATGTGGGACTCGATCCCAGGACCCTGGGACCATGACCTGAGCTGAAGGCAGTCGCTTAACCAACTGAGCCACCCAGGCGCCCCCTATGTCACTTTTTAAAGAAGTATTTCATTTCTAACTTTTTTTTATTGAAATATAGTTGACATACAATCTTACATTAGTTTCAGGCATACACCATAGAGGTCTGACATTTATATATACATTATGTAATGATCACCATAAGTCTAGTTACCATCTGTCACTGAACTAACTTATTACAATATTATTGACTATATTCCTTATGCTATGCTATATCCCCATGACTTCTTTATTTCATCATTGTAAGTTTGTACCTCTTAATTCCCTTTACCTATTTTACCCAGCCCTCTACCCCCTGTCCTCCGGCAACTACCTGTTTGTTCTCTGTATTTATGAGTCTGTTTC